CCGCGAGGCCTCCGGGAGGGGAGACGCCGCCCTGGGGCCTTGCGGGTGGCCGCGGAGCTCCGGGGGTGGGGGTGCCCGGCGGGTCTCAGGCCTTCTCGCCAGGAAGGGTAAACCAAAAATGGGGTCGGGCTCTCCCTCCCTCCCCGCACCCCTGGGCCGCCCGCGGGTGCCCCACGCTATGCGCCCAGGATCCTCGTCCCGCCAGCCTTGGTTTAGGTGCGTCTGCAGGGAGCTGGAGCCGGGTATCCCGCGCCGGCTCTCATGGCTCTCTCTGCGTTTGGTTAACTTCCATCATCTCCGAGTGAGAACGCTAGGGGATCGGGTTTGAATTGAAAGTTTGAGTTTTGTTTGAAATTGGATTTAACCCTGAACCAAGAAAGTTGTGTCAAATCAGGTTGTATGTGTGGAGGACGTTCGGAAAAGAGATTCTAACCTTGGCTTTTTGTTTTCTGAGGTTTGTTTTGTTTTGTTTTGTTAATATTGAGAGTCTTAATTCATGGTAGGATTTCTGCCAGGAGCAGAGAAATGTTTTGTTCCATAAACGGTGCATTGATTGAAGTCAGTGTGAAACAGATTTGGTAAGCAAAGGATGAATAACGGAACACAGGGTGACCTTTAAATTTTGGCTGGGAGTTTAGGAAAGGTATTCCTGCCCTATTTCTTATGCAGTAAACTTGATCCAGAAGATAATTCTTTACATTTTTTAAGGTTTCATTAAGTAATGAGAAGTTTTGGATAACATGAACCGGCGTTTGAAACTACCTAGTAAATCTTGAGTAGAAAATCAGGTACGGGTTGTGATGACATTCAATTGTGGACATTAATGGGGATTTTCAAAAAAAGACCATTTCCTTTGTAAAGAATTTGTCTTCATTGTTTGGCACATGAATCCAGTTAGATAACGTGTCTAATCATAACCAATGTAGTGTTTTAATAATTACCGTTATTGTTGGTGCCCCTGTTAGTGAATTTGATTTGGGGAGAAGGGGTCCTGGCATTAGGTGAGAAGAACAGTGAAAGCGATCCTGTGGGAAGTCGAAAATGGGTAAAACTGTGCCTTCACTACTATTTCAGATCTAGGAGGGAATGAATCTCACCCTCACCCATATTTTGACCTCTCTTTTCTTCTACTCCAGTGTTATTAAGGTTAATTGGCAAGGATAGGATTAGATTTTCAGCAGGCTAGGCAGTTTTAATTTTGTCCCTTGGTATGCAGCACTCTGGTTGATACGTGGCTTGTTTACCTAAGTATCTTAACCCATTCTGTGATGTGAATGAAATGACAGCTGACAATCATTTTTTTCCCTGAGACAAACACTATCACCATAAAGTATCATGGCAAGATCATGTTCTTAGGAGCTTAATAAACAGTAGAGCTGGGCAATTGGTGTCTGTTCCTAGAGTCTGCCACCAAACTGGTCTACAACTCCAAGCATGCTGTTCTTATCTGAGTCAGTCCACTACATTTGTAATACATGGCTAGTAAAATGTGCCACCTGCACATTTTTAAACTAATTGATAAACTTAATTTTTTTCAAGTGACTGTTGGTGTTATATCAGTGATAAGAAAATTTAAGATTTATTGACTTGATTGATTGATTTACTGGTAGATATTATTTCTACTCTGACCAAGATTTTTTTTCCACTTAGTTCTCAAAATGATGTCATCTTTTCCTTCCCATCAAGAATTCTCACCTGGTGTAGTGGTGCAAGCCTTTAGTCCCAGCACTTGGGCAAAGGCAGGCAGATCTCTGTGAGTTTTGAGGCCAGCTGGGGCTACAGGGAGACCCCGCCTCAAAAAGACCAAAAAAAAAAAAAAAAAAAAGAATTCTCATATGCATTGCCTTGTTGGCCCTAGCCTTGTGAGTTAAAGTGTGGTTTTATGACTTTTCACAAGTGAAATAAAGCCTGCAGAAATTAATTACTTGAATTGCCTCAAGTGAGACAAGAAGCAGAACTGGGATTTGACACAGGTCTTTGGACTTGACCTCAGTGCTTTGCTTTGAAGCTGTCTTCCAGACACATGTCTACACCGCAGTTGCATTTTAGTTTTCTTTAGTCTAGATTGAAAAACAACATATCCAGATACATGTTGGTGACATAAAATGTAATGGCTATCCAAGTACCTTTCACTCAGTTGAAATACAACTGCAAGTCAAAAAGGAAGTTTCCCTTTCGTGTACATTCTCTTAAACCTATTCTTTCTCCCATTCCCAACTGTTAACCTGCCTCCTTCCTGTCAGTGTGTTTAGAATAAATTACCTACTCTTATAGTCAATATTACATACTTTGGTTTTGATTATCTTAAAATCTAGAGTGATTGTAGCAGGTTTCTATAGATTATTCCATGCTTCTGTTTGCTATTGAACAATGCTATAGGAACGCCATATAAGATGCAGTCATGTGCCACATAAGAATGTTTTGATCTATAACCATATGCACAACAGAAATCTCAGAATTACAGTACCTGGTGATGTCCTTGGTGTCTGACTTTGTTTAAGTACACTCTGACATTTCACAAGAAAATTCCCTAACAAATTATTTAAAATATCTCAGTGTCTTGGCTTCCTGAGGCAGGGTGACCCTAAGTAGCTCAGGATGGCCTTAAACTTGAGATCCTCAGCCTCATCCTCCCCAGTGCTGGAATTGGAGGTGTGTACTGCTACTACTACCCCATGTATCCCTGTATGTCTATTACGTAGGTGTGTATGCAGGACTTCTCCAGGATAGTATTTCTTGATCCTGTATCCCATTTTTATAGAAAATATGAACAGTTTCTATGTATAAAACATATCTCCCTGTATAAATACTTGATCAGCTACACTCAGGTTTACTCCTAATAATACTAGACCAACAGCATCAGAATCACCTGGGAATTTGTTAGGGATCTAGGACCTCAGGCACTATCCACTGGTTCAAATGCAAAAATACTAGTAAGATTACCAGGTGATTATATACACATTAAAGTCTGAGAAGCACTGCTAGAAAAATAGTAGATTCTTTACACCCATTGGTCGTGTTGCAGTCAGTACAACTGCTACTGTCCATTCTAATTTTTACGTTGAATTGACCATTTTGATACCAGAAGCAGTTCACTTTTACTTGAATGAGTTTCTGAATAATATTGGATTTTTAAAGACACTTTTTCCACTCTTTAGTATACTGTTTCAGCGTAAATATACTTTTTCTATGAATTTTAAATTAATTTCATTGTTTAATTTTTAAAATTTATTTTTATTGTATGTGTATTTTTATTGTATGTGTTTTGCCTGCCTGCATGTAAATGCACCTGAGTTGTGCAAAGCTTATGGAGGCCAGAAGAAGGCATCAAATTCCCTAGAACTAGAGTTCCAGGCAGTTGTTAGCTGCCATGTGGGTTCTGGGAATCAAACCTGGGTCCTCTGGAAGATCAGTCAGTGTTCTTAATGGCTAAGCCATCTCTCCAGTCCTCCATTTAATTTTTTAAAGAGTCTCTTGCTTAGGTTGATCTTAGACTCGGTGATCTTTGCCTCAGCCTACCAACAGCTGGGGTTGTTACCACACCTGATTTAGAACTTTCAACTTTAATGTCAGATTGATCAAACTTTTTAAAATTTTTGTTAAATTTATGTGTATTGCCTGCATGGATATAAGTGCACCCAGGTCATGCAAAGCCCACAGAGGTCAAAAGCAGGCATCAGATTCCCCTGGAACTGGAGTTAGGGACAGTTGTTAGCCACCATGTGAGTGCTAGAAATTAAACCCAGGTCCTCAGAGCAGCCAGTGTTCTTAACTGCTTAGTCATCTCTCTATCCCCATGATCAAATTTTTATGATAGGTTCGTATGCTTCTTCAATAAGGATTAAAATTTGTACTTTTTCACGCTTAGATCTTGAGATGGTTAGTGGTATCAGCTTGATAGAATCTGGAGTCACCTGGAAGATGGGCTCTGGATTGTCTTGATGATGGTAATTGATATGGGAAGACCCATTAAATTTCAAGGGGTCTCACTCCCTGGGCAAGGGATCCTGGACTGAATGAAAGGAGCAGACGAACTACACACTAGCATATATCCATTGGCTCTGCTTTCCCATTGTGAGTGCAGTGTGACCAGCTTCAGGCTCCTGCCACCTTGAATTCCCTACCATAAGACTATACCCTTGAACTGTGAGCTAGAATAAGCTTTCTCTCCCCTAAGTTGCTTTTGTTAGAGTATTTTATCACAGAAAAGTATCTTAAGATCTGAAATTCATGTGGAACAGTTTTTATGTTATAAGGAACTTAAGTTCACTCATTGAAAGAAAGTACTTTTTTTTTTTTTTTTTACTGAAGCTTAAACTTTTTTTAAAAAAAAATTATTCTGTATATATTACGTGTGTGATTGTGAGTACACCCGTGTTATG